GTATTCAATTTCATGCATTCGGTTTCGAGTGATGCGTGCACAAACACACAGATAGAAAGAAAAAAATTCTAAAAATCGTTGATCTGGATTCTATTGCTATAATAAAAAATAATAAATAATAATGTACAGACATCGGCCTGTTACAATTTGGTTATATGTATAGATTTCATTTTATTTTTTTTTTTTATAAGAAAAAAAATACATATAAGTAAACCAAGTCTCAAACTAAACAAAAAAAAAGTTTCAACAAAATTTTACAATTTTAATTCAGTGCTTTCAGAAAATAATTGGCTGTGTGGATTTATAGCCCATTTAGCTCTGGTCAAATAAAGGCCACTTGGATTTACATGTTTTTTGCTAAAGAATGAACTGTGTTTTTATTAGAAGGTAATATAAATGAATGAAATGAAATGAAAAAAATTAGATAAAAAAAAAATGGTCAAAACTTATCAATAAGTGAGTGTCGTATAATTATGATAAGCACCTCTGTTACACTGAGGGAAATAATGCATAGTAAAAATGAATACTTTATATTTGATTATCTTTTAAAAACGTTCGTATTTAAAAATAATATTTTCATACAAAATTTATTACGCGCGTATTTGACTGTTCACATCTGAGTATATATATGACTGTACATACGCACCCCAAGCATGCAGAGCGCCGCTCTGAGAGCGGTGAAAACACAGGCATTCATACAAAGTACATGTTTAGCCGTACAAATCGCGTGCTGTGGTGTTGATGGATATTCAACATTTGAAAGCAAATTTATATGCCTGGGTGTAGCTGAATGCGCAAAGATGCATGCCACAATTTGTTGATATCCGGAGATGGTCAGGGTTCGAATTCCTCTGCAGGCTACATGCAAGTTAAATATTTTTTTTTAGTTTTTGTCTTGATTATTCACTTCACGGATGCTTTTTCAGAACGAACGCGGTCATTTTAATATGCGCGTAATTGAATTGAATATTTACCAATATACAGTACTTTCGTTGACGTTTATAGTAAGATCAATTCCGTTTCTATTTGATTTTAATATTTTTTTCCTCCAGTGTAGATAATAGTGGAATAAAGGGCCATGCTCTGCAAAGCTGGTATGTTTTCTTCTATCGAAAATTTCCACGTCGCTTTGCTAGCAATATTTTAGAAATTAACCCATTAGCGACTCCTTTTAGGACGTTCATAAGTAACTGCACTATAGATAAAGAAAACAACACATTCGTTCAAAACTAATGCAAAACGGAGTAAGAATTGTTTTAACTTATAACGAAACTCGCCGATTTTCTTTGATTTGAGTGAATTATGTTTTTTTTTCTTCTCATTTGTACTAAAAGTGATTTAGAAAAGTTCTCTGCTGATGAATATTTTTAAATATTTTCCAAATTACTATTTTTGAGCAACCCTAGTAATAATGTTTGATGTTAAAAAAAGACAATTAGAAATAGTTAATAAAATCATATATTTGTCACATATACTAACGTACATATGTATATGTAAATATATGTATGTATATATATTTATTTGCACTGAACTGCGGAAACAAGAAACCAAAGCTATTTGACTGTTGCCAACAAAGTATAAATGTACTATCGCTTATCAATCGCTTTCTTTACATATATACACTGCCGGCAAAAAGTACTGGCACAGCGAATTTTTCACAACATATGCACCAATTTCTATTCTAATATTTTTCCGCTAATTTTTTATAAAAATATGGTTCATTCTACAACAAAAATCATAAAACTATAATTCTTAAAATTTTGTGGAAAACTCCTAAATTTTTAATTGGCTTTTTTTTTAATTTTTTTTGGGTATGCAGATTTAAAGCCCAATTAATTTTGTTAATAAATAATAAAATACATGTTTTAAGTAGCTAGGAATTACCGTTGATTTTTGGCAATTTTTTTTTCACGCAGTCTCTTCCAAACACACAGATTTTTGCTAGAATTAAATGGGCTACAAAATTAAATGCTCTAGAAACTTCCAAAAAATCTGATTAAAAAGTTGAAGATTTGCATGAAATTTTATTGAATTTTCGCGAGTTTTGCAAAAAGTTTAGAAATTATATTTTTATGTTTTTTGTTGTAGGCTGAACCACGTTTTTATAAAAGATTAGCGGAAAAATATTAGAATAGAAATTGGTGCATATACATATTGTGAAAAATTCGCTGTGCCAATACTTTTTGTCGGCACTGTACATACATACATAGGCGTATAAAACCACATCTCTTTATATTCTGAAGGAAAAACATACTTATTCCACAAAAAACATTAAATATGAATGCAGATATTAAAAAAATAAAAACTTGCAAAAATAAAGCAAATTCAATAATCCACCACACACATATTTATAAAAAAAAATAATATGCATTTTATTTACAGCTTACGGATTCATTACATCCATGTGAAGCCGAAATCCACCGAAGGCAAGAAAGTGATTCCCCTGCTGCTGATCCATGGCTGGCCAGGATCGGTACGCGAATTTTACAAAATTATTCCGCTGCTTACGAAACCGAACCCCAACAGCGCCTACGTTTTCGAAGTGATAGCACCTAGTTTACCTGGTTATGGTTGGTCTCAGGTAATAATATCCGGCATGGAAACCATATGTAATTCAAATTCTAATTAATTGTTTTCCCATATTCAGGGCCCTCAATGACTAACTTTGGTCCAGCCCAGTTGGCTGTGGTTTTGCGTAATTTGATGTTACGTTTAGGACTTGACAAATTTTTAATACAAGGTGGAAATTGGGGTTCCATAATCGGATGGCATATAGCCACTCTGAGACCTCAAAATGTACTTGGTTATCATTCAAATTTATGTTTTAGTAACCACCAATTAACGTTGTTATATAAATTTGTACGCTAGCTGTTGCCGTCATACTTCATAAAAGACGAGTACAGAGCTTTCNACGCGTATGGTTCCCATTTTTCTTTGTAAAAAGCGAACAAAAAGTTTTCTTCAAACCTTTCGGCAAAGAGTTTACGTACATCATGGAAGAGTCTGGTTACTTCCATATTCAAGCAACTAAGCCAGATACCATTGGGACTACGCTCCTGCAGAATCCTGTGGGTTTGGCTGCATACATCCTTGAGAAATTCTCTACTTGGACCAACCCTGAATACAAAAAACTTGAAGATGGTGGTTTAACTAAACGTTTCACGCTGGATGAGCTTTTGGATAACATAATGATCTACTATACAACAAACTCGATAACCACATCGCAGCGTTTGTATTCCGAAGCATTTAGCTTCGCTCAAATGGATTTGAATGTGGATGCTGTGCATGTTAACCAGCCCACCGGCTGTGCTCGATTTGTGCACGATTTGAGACATTCAACCGATCTTGAGCTTTCAACTAAGTACAAGAATCTCATCCATAGTACATATCACAAAGATGGTGGTCACTTTGCAGCACTTGAGTTACCACAAATACTTTACAATGACTTTGTAGAGTTTGTCGATAAAGCGCTAACCCAGAAGCTGGCCAATTAAAGAAAATGTCGTGATTTGACATTGATAAGCAACCAAATAATTTCCATATCTTTTTTATGAATATTTTTGCTAATAAATTTTTAAATTTATCGCACGCTTTTTTTCTTTTTCTGAATAATCACGCAGTTGAATGGTGTGGCAGAATTCGCATTTGCAAGGCAATTTCGAACAATTTTTTTTTTTGTCAAACGTAGGTGTCGCCTTTTTACATTTTTATTATATCTGCTGCATGTAAGAGTTAAGCCGAAAATGTTTTTTGTAGGTGGTTGCCACCTGTTTGAAAATGTTATCTCAATTTAATTGATAAGATAAATCTAATATTGCAATGTGGGTATACATCTGAAGAGATTTAAGAAAGCTTACTGTGGAAAATATTTTTGATTAGGGTTGCCATCTGTTTGAAAAAATTTGATTAAATAGAATTGAGAAAATAAATGAAATAATCCAATACGGGTATCAACAGCACAAAAATACTTTTAAGGCGCAATGAAGCACGCCGGATATTTGCTAGTTTAATATAAAAATCGCTCTTTATTTAACGATTATAGAATTTTTGTTGATATTTTCTATAAGTAAAAGTCTCGGACTGAATTTTATTGATGACTAATAAATCTTTTTATGGAGCGTGAAGCAGTCTAATGTATGTACATATGTATTTAGATAAATATGTACATTGGTATCGACTTAAATGGATGTAGATAGCTATTGATTGATTACCTGGTTATCTGTTGAACTTATAAATTCAAATGTACAGAACTACTTGTAAGTATGTATGCACATAAATACGTATATTTGCGTTCCTTAAGGGCTTCAAACAAAAATAGGATTTCATGATTTCCGCCAGAATAATTTGGCTCAACTTTTTGAGTCGATTATCGATAGCAATCGAACTTCAGTTGCATTGCTAGTTGCCAAAACGATATTACAGATGGCAACTGGCAACTTTCAACTGACAACTGCAGTTGCTACAAAGTGTGTATACAGGCGACTACATTTTTGTGGTTGCTGGGAATGTTTTCGGAGCGTATTTAGGATCGAAAACTGAAAAGTGTGTCATATATTTTACTTTTTAATAATTTGAATGATATTAACATTTTCCAATGCAGTTTTCTTTTACAGAATATGGTGAAAATAACAAAACAATAACTTGAAATTTTAGTTCCCATCGAGTACGCCCTTTTGGCGAAACAAAAGCGAACACTGATTGCAAATTTTTCCTTTATCAACTGAAGCTGCTCTTTTAAAACTACCGACGTATGAAAGTTTTCCAAATTAAAGTCATTGCTGTGGCACTTTCTTCTGCAACAAAATCGAAGAGGTACGCAAGCTTTTATGAGCAGAGGTATTGGAGTTGAACACAAAAACGATAATAAAAGAAATACCTTGAAAGGATTAACTTTTGCTTACAGTGCACGCTTTAGCTCTAGAGGATTGAAATTATCCTTTAAATGTCGCCTAATTGAGGCCGCGTTCATGCACTTTTCTTCCTCTTAATATTAAAAATTGAGATGCATTTAGCTTTTATTTTATTTTATTTTATTGCTGTCTTTTCTTTAAAAATCTTTATTTTAATAATTTAATTTTACTTGCACAGCTTGTTTACGCCCGCTAGCAGGTTGTCGAACTGTCAAATTTCGATTGTCGATAACTCTACAGCAACTGACGATAGTTGCCATTCGTAATACAAATTTTCTTTCCAGTTGCTTTGTCAGCTGGCAACCGTACCGTTGTTGTGTTGCTATTCGTAATCGACCCATTTGTTTCTTCAAAAACAAAATAATTTTGACTGTAACTCTAACTGGCACATTATTTTTATTTTTTTTTTTGTTTATGACAATTGTACTCGTAACTATCCAAAAAGCGTTTGTTAACCACAATTCACTGAAGGAGTCTAGTTATGCTAAAAACGATCTTTCTTTCTAAATAAATAGGCAACTGCTGTAATTAGCCGACATTTTTTTATAGCACGCAAAAATAATTCGCACCCTATTATTTGCATGTGTATGCATACAGGTATGTATTATATAACACACATGTATGTACATTAGACCAAGCACAAAAAAATTCTGCATTACGACCGGAATCTGAGAAAAAATTTCGTATCTGGTATGATCCATCATGAATCTCCCATCTCTACGAAATAAGAGGTGATGCATCGATCCTTTTTCTCTTATATCGGAATAACGCTTTAAAAAATTATTTATTCTTATTTGAAACGTGTGCAACTGTAAGAATACATCGATTATACGCCATTTAAATATTATCCATACTCATATTCTTTGAATCTAATTTTTTTTGCTGGGTCTAATGTGCATACATACATACATTCACATGTATGTATGTGTCTCAAAAAACACCTTTGATTTCAACCTTTTTGCAGATATAAAATGAGCTAATTTGCTCGATAAATCATCGAAATTGCATTTAAAGCCTTCCGAATGAAAAAAATAAACTATGTGCCGTTTAACTTGTTGCTTGTGTCAGTTGGGTCTCAATCACCATTTCAGTACTTTCGTGTCGTAGTCAAGTGTTTGACAGCAAAATAGCGTAGTTGCAAAAATGTCATCCTCGTATTTATGTCTACTGCTGCTAGTGGGATTGCTAGCTAACCAGATCACAGCTCAGGACTCGTCAACAACATCTGCTCCGCCATTGTCAATACAATATTGCAATGAATCATCAAACATGGCTTTCGATATCGAACAGGTATGTGAACTACATACATATCTACATATGTGTGCTTTAATGAAGTGGTGCACCACACAAAAAAAGTTGCGGCTTTTCCGCGATTCAAGTGGCCGACACTGTGTATTATTCAAGACGAACTTCCATTTACAAATAATTAATTTTAATAAAGCAGGCTCCAAAAAATCAAGTGTTTATAATTTTTAACCGACTTCCCAAAAAGTAGGAGATTATCAGTTCGTCGGAATATTTTTACCTCAGGGGTGGTGCCATACTAATTTTGTTTAGACCCGATAACCGGATCGTGAAAAAATTAACGGTAATCTTAAATTTTAATATAAGAATTGAAGTCGGTTTTGTTTTTTGCTGAAAAATTACTGGCTTATATTTTTTTTTTAAATTGGCGAATAAACGTCTCGACTTCCTTAATCCCAAAGCATCAAAATTGCAGTAAAGAAAATTAAGCATTTCAATAATGATACACTGTGCAATAATTTCAGGATCATTGTCTGGAGCGGAATGATTGCAACTCCAAATAGTTTTGCATTCCAGGTCAAAACTTTTTTATGGTCATATTAAGATTTATTTTTTTGCCCGAATGTATTTAGAATAAGTGGAAAAAAGGGTTAAACCTCATATCGGAGAGAAATTTTGTAGTTGGGATACATATATATATGTAGTAAAATTTTACGAAGAATAACTCTGTAGACCAGTTTCACACATTAGCTCTCTCATAAAAGTGCCGTTTTGACTCTTGTTTTGGAAGGTCTAAACAAAAATGGCATTTGGGTGGTCGCTATAGGGTTAAAATGCAGTAGAAAGTTATTCACCGGAAAGTTTTACTAGGGGTATTTTCAGACAAAATCTTTATACAAAGAACATTAATTAAAAATATTATTTAAGATTAATATGTTCTAACTTCTCGAAAACGCCTTCAATAAAATTTGTAAATATTAATTTGAAAATCTTATTTAACTACATACATGCATTGTCTTTGTATTTATATTTCCATAGATCTCTGGCACTTGGTACGAATTGGCACGCAATCCTGCTCCTAGTAACAGCTTACTCTGCGCACAATTAAATATCACAGCACTGCCTAATAATTTCGTAAACATCTCATTCACATATTCAAATACAGCAACTTATCCTTGGGTTAACCAAACCATGTATTCTAATGTCACGGTGGACGCAAACAACACCGCTGGTTATAATATTTCATTTACAATGTATGGAAAATCATATCCGCTGACGACATATAAGGTGCTTGACACAAACTACAACAACTATACCTTTGTTTGCGGTTACACCAACATATCGGACTATAGCACATTCTTCGGTGTAGTTTTGACACGTGAGCGTATTTTGAATTCCAGCATACTAACCGACTATGAAAGTATGGCCGAAGCGAAATATGGCCTTTTCAGTACTAAAAGTATGACGACAATTTCACAAACTGCAGAGTAAGTAGAGAGAATGAAGAAAGACCCTGGCAGTAAGTAGTTTGTACTAAAAAACAACTTCCTTAAAAATTATACATAGCGATGATTTTGTGATAATTTTCTAAAAGTTGGTTGTGCTTTGGTTTTTTGTTTTTCCCGCAAAAAAATTAAAAATGTCAGTTAGGGTCTTTCTATATTTCAGCAAAGTTTGTGCATATATACATTAGACTGCATCACCAAAAAAAAAGTTGCGGTTTTTCCGCCGGCATTACATATTTNATTTCAGCAAAGTTTGTGCATATATACATTAGACTGCATCACCAAAAAAAGTTTGCGGTTTTTCCGCCGGCATTAAATGTTTTTATATTTTAAGACGTCCACCAAAATATTTCGGAAAAATATTAAGATTTACGTGAGCTGGACCGATTAGAAAATACCTCCAAAAATGGAGTTTTTTATGAATAAAAATAGTTTAGAGAACTTTTTGAAAAAACGCTCAGATGACAAAACCGATTAAGCCAAAAAAATCCTCATAAAAATATTTCAAAATGTTTTCAACGTAAACGTAATAACGAGATTTTCGATGCTGTTTTTCAACTTTTTTCAAAGATTAATTTACGAAAACTTAAATTTATGGAGCATCAGTANTATTAAGATTTACGTGAGCTGGACCGATTAGAAAATACCTCCAAAAATGGTGTTTTTTATGATTAAAAATAGTTTAAAGAACTTTTTAAAAAAACGCTCAGATGAAAAAACCGATTAAGCCTAAAAAATCTTCATAAAAATATTTAAAAATGTTTTCAACGTAAACGTAATAACGAGATTTTCGATGCTGTTTTTCAACTTTTTTCAAAGATTGATTTACGAAAACTTAAATTTATGGAGCATCAGTAGAATGGTATTTTCGCACTATTTCTGTGCAAATGGAAAAACTCATTCACGTCCCTTTTTTTCAACTACCAAC